GGGCCCAAAAATGCTCAAAAACCTGCAAAAACAGGGGATTAACATTAGATATATAATATAACTACTAACATATGAAAAAGATATAAAAAGACTCAATTAGGACACTAATGGGCAAATAAAACAACAGAAAATGGTTAAGAAAATGATGTAATAAGGTTAATAAATTAACACTTATCACCTGCATTCACTCGTAAAATGACCTTTGTGTTGACAGTTGTAGCAGCTCACTAAAGCCTTGTCAATAGGGTTTGACTTTGGATTTTCAGCTATGGTTAGCGAAGGAGATATGCAGTAATTGCTTTTTCTGGCGAATCTCCTGAAAGAGTTAGTTAGAAAGGTCAGCGACTCGACAAACTCTGAAAGATCAGCGTCTGTCAAGTCCTTACAGGGGGAAATTGTCTGAAGATATTTGAGGAAATCTTATTCGTTTGATAGGGATAAGTTTATTTGAAAGTGTTGTTGTTCATAGGGGGGGAAATTTTAGTCTTTGATTCTTTATAATGCTCATAATTCTTCTAATCATCACGAGGGAGAGAAATAATATAAAAGACATGAAGAAAAGCAATATGCAAAGACATGAAGAATTAAAAGACATGAAGAGAAGATGTTATGAGGGAGAAATAATATTGAATTTAAAGACATGTAAAGTAAGGGCTAATGTCAAGAGGGAGCTTACAAATACTCATATTCATATGTGTAAAGGCAGTTAAAGAATTCAAGTGGATGATTAATTGTATATTGTTGAATCAGTTCATGGAAGAAAAGTATTGTTTCTAAGGTTGAAAAGCCTTTGGATTCAAAGATTGTAGATGTGATGAAGAAATTAGTGCTGAATTGTTGATATTCATTGTTGACTTATCTGTGAAAGATTCTTTGGATGATTGAATCAGGGTTGTTTGAAGAAAGTTGTTGATAAAATTGGATTCTTTCATGATATAATGGTAATGAGCTTAATACACGTAGTGTCAAAGCTTAAAGTCTAAATGTCTAAAGATTAATTGTTGATTCAAGAGGATTTATTGAAGATTTGTTGATTGTTGAAGGTTTTAAAAGAGATAGTTTCTGAAATAGAAGACTAATGTAATTGTTGCTTGAATACAAAGGGGCAAAATTGTTTTGAAGCTGAAGATACGTTTTTTTGACAAAGTTTGACTGCCTTCAAAGGAGGAGATTGTTAGAGTGTTGATATTTGTTGAACTGTAATCTTGAATACAAAGGGAGAGAATGTTAGGTTAAGAATATTGTATCCTAGATCACAAGATTGAAGACTTGAAGAATGGTCAAAGATGAAAGTCAACATGGTTAAAGAAAGTCCAAGTTGTTAACAATTCAATGTTTAGTTAGAGCTTAATTGTAGTTTGACTTATTGTATTAGTTAATGGTATAAATATTAAATACCATAGTTCTCTTGTAATTAGAAAAGAACTTACATTAAGATTATCCTAGAGAGAATATAGAGAGAAAAACTTGTAAAGTGAGAGATTCATTCAATGACATGATGATTTGATCTTTAATCGTGTTTGAATTACATTGTTACTTGATCATTATGGGATAACAGGGTTTTCTGTTTTTGATTTTATTGACTTGATGTATATCAATTGTTTTTATGTATGTTCTTGAGTTTTTCAATTAAATTTGTGTAGATATAGGATTTTGATATTCCATGTTTGAGTTTGAATGGTATTATAAAATCATGATTCTTGATTTGAGGAGGAAGGACATAGGAAAAAAAGATGGGTAAGAAGACGGTTTTTCCCTTCACTAAGGGGTACATGACTGGGTTAACAAACACTAAGCTAACAATGTTCACTCGAGGGATGGTTTTGGTATCCCAAAACCTTAAATCAAATTCTGAAATCAAAGTTTCAGATGTGTGTTTGGTGCAAAAAAAAGATCCCTCCAAAACAAAACCAAAATTCTATATGTGTGTTTGGATCGAGAGAGATGCTACGAGAGAGAGAGAGAGAGAGACTGGTGGTCATGGTGGTTGTGATGCTTATGTTTCTTTCAATCCTCTGATGATGGAATGAACAAGTCATGCTGGGGCCAAAGTCATAGTGGGGTCTCATGGTTGGAGAAGTGATGGACGGTGATAGAGAGAAAACGACAAAGAGGCGATACGAGGTTTGAATGAAGTAGGATTGAGAATGGTAAAACCAATTTAAGTTTTTTTTATGCTTCAAAAATCTTCCTAGCTGATTTGGTAGGTTTTTTGGGTTAAATAATATAGGTAACCAATTTATAAAAGTTTTTATTTGTTCAAAAAGAAATTCAATGACTTAATTATTCAAAATAAGAAAGTTTAATGATTTTTTCATTAAAATGAGAAAGTTTAATGGTTTTTTCATTCAAAATGAGAAAATTTAATGTTTTTTCATTTAAAATGAGAAAGTTTAGAGATTAAACCATTCAAAATGAGAATTTAATGATTTTTATAATAAAAAAGTTTAATGATTAAACCATTTAAAATGAGAAAGTTGGTTGAGTTTTTTTTGGACAATTTCCATTTTATAATACCATATATTAATGTATATAAATTATGGGATTTGGTCCTTGTGATTTGGTGGTGGTTATGAAAATGGTCCCGGAACTTCATTTATTATAGATTAGTATTCATGGTATGTCGTTTTGTAATGAATTGATCCTTCCCTGTGACGATCATCCATTTCCTCCATTAATCTTGAGAACATTTTCGTCATTTTCCTTTTTTTGTCTTTAATCGAGGAACTAGATGTCTGTTAGAGGGAGGGACCAATTCGTTATAAAACGACATACCATGAGTCCTAATATGTAATAAATGAAGTTCAGACAATTTTCATAAAAACCACCAAACCACAAATCCGTAATTTACTCTATATCTTATAATAAAAAATTAAAAAATTGATAAATGGACCAAACGTCCATAAGTTAACGGTCTATTTTAACAATAGCTACGGTTATGGACCAAAAAACCGTAACGAATTGGTAACTAATAAAAAAATTTGGTTTCGTTTCTATACAATTTGCATATAAATATAAGAAAAATTGACTCAAATAGCCATTCTACCCATTTAAATTAGTCTTCTAATTATTTTTCTCCGGGCTTTACCAAATATTACTAGGTTCTTAATATCCATATCCATAATATTGTGGACTTTGTTAGAAGACATAAAAAAAAATTTCAAATTTCATTAGATTAGTAAGTGACGGTCATAATTGTGTATCTGGGTTGAATCTAATAATAATTTTTTTGTGTTTTTTAATCAAATATGTAATACTATCCGTAGATATCACGGACTACATTCAGGTATTTGGGTCAATTTGAGTTTAAGTAGCCGTACGTGCGTTCAAATTTCCTACCCAATTTAGCCAACCGATTCCCTCTCAACACCTGTCTTTGAATGCGGTGTAAGCAAGCAGGCAGGCAGGCAGGCAGGCAGAACCGAACATATTCCTTCCTTTCTTGGTACCCCAATTCCCTTTCCTTTTCCACCATTTTCAGATTCCAAGAAAAGCACTTCCAATCCTTATCTGAAAAGTGCTGTGGTAATCGCGATGAATTCATACGCTGAAGTGGGCGGTGTTGGTCATCATAATCGTAGCTCGTCTCTTAGTATCACTGCTGAAAGCCCACCGGAAGTCGATTCTGATGTAGAGATAACAGCTGCCGGCCAAGAGCAGCAACATGTCGGTGTATCTTCAGGTTTCCCATTCTAATTTCACTATAACCTTGCTCTCATACCATGAAATCACTACGAATTGTTTTCTATACTCTTTACATCCAAAAGTATATATGGTTTTTTCCTTAACAAGGTCCATGGGTTCATTGTGCTATATATTCGGGATTTTCCCATGGTGATATACACATAGAAACAACCCTAAATGTTTGTAAAAGATATGTATGTATGTACCTGTGTATTCTTTGTCTTACCCATTCATAGTGAAGTGTTGAAAATTGGTGTTTGCGGTTGTATGTTAAAACTAGTATATTTTTCTAACTTTATGTAATATGAAGTGAACTGGTCTATGTTGCCCATAAACTTATACTTAACCGAACACACATTAATATTTGTTCATCTCTCCATTTTTCACGATGAATTCTGTTCTGTTTGTTAACTTATGAATTGACAGCATTCAAATGTTCTCTGCTCAGAGTCTACTGATAAAAGTCGTCCTCATGGAAGTTCAACTCCAGATAAAGAAAAATCAGAGACAATCATGAGTCTGCATGTAAGGCCTCAGAGAACTGAACAAAAGAAAACTCATGGCATACTTGGAGCAAAGTTTTTTGACAGTAATGTTTCTACAAGAAAGAAGGTTTCGACTTCCCTTCAGTTGCATCTTATTTTCTGTCTATCTGCTTTACTGCAATCCTTTTGGGTTGATCTTTTTATTTATTATGAATTCCTTTAACCTCTTTGTTTTGGAATAACTTTCTTTACAGTTTTCCATGTGCTCTCTTGAATTGATGAGGGTTCAAGTAAATGTAGTATATCTCTCCTGAAATTGAACACACAATTGCACGAGTGATCTTTTGAATTTGATTCATGGACTTTTTTGGAGTTGATATTTATTTGAAAATTGAATTATGGATATTGATCCGTTTCTTTCGCTACTCTGTTCCCAAGAAGTGCCACGACTATCTTTAGTAATATAGCATATATTAAAGGATTTCCTTCATATTGACTTGATGATACTAGACGCTTGATGATGATTAAATGATAAATATATTATTTTGCAGCTCAAGTGGTTGAACCGACTTGCTAGTGTTCGAGCTGATGGTACTGTGCAATTTGAAATTCCAGATGAAATTAGGCCACAAAGTTTGGATTTTGACACCACAGTGGTCATTAGTGGAGCTACTGAAGATGAAGATTTTGATATGACAACTATTCGAGATTTCCGTCCATTGCAAATTGTGATGCTTATTGTTGGAACAAGGGGAGATGTGCAACCATTTGTTGCCATTGGAAAATGTTTACAGGTTAGATATACTTCCTTAAGTGAACACTTATAGAAGTAGTAGTCAAGGTACACATTGTGTTGAAACCATAGACTTGAAATTTATGTCCAACGGTGGTGGTTTATATACAAATCTGCATTCATGCAGGCTACACACAGTTGCCCACCTGCACTGATAAAAGCAGAGTTGTTTAGCTACATGTGAACTGATAAAAGCGGACTTGAATCTGTCACACTTCTGTTGACATTGTACTTCATCAGTTCATCGAGAACACCATTTGCCAACCAACGGGAACATGAGACCTATAAAGAACGGCGAATACAAATAAATGTTTTTATTTTTTATTTTCACACATTAATAGAATTAATTCGCTTACTGAGATCTATCCTTATCACTGATAGGGTTGATATTCCAATGTGTTGTTTGTTTTTAGAGCCCCAATTTCCTCGACAACTACAGCCTTCCTTCTAGGTTGAGCAAATGCTTCCAGGATGGTTGCAGGAACTTGGGTGATAACTTTCTGTTTGGAATAGAATTCCCCCATTTTGGAACAGAATTCCCAATGGGGTGTAAATTACTAGCTTGTTTCCTTTTTGCAGTGCAATAGGGATTCCAGATCATTAGGGATGTTACTAGTATCCAAGGAAGTAGAGATGGGAGACATATTACTTGCATTGCCTGCTTGTGCTTGTGCAGAGTTTGGACCTGGGAAGCTTCCTCAAAACGCTTGGTTTCTTGGGCAGGTTCGGCAATGGTGGATTGGTGCGGTTTCTGTCTTTGTATGTATATGGTGATGTGCTTCCAAGCTGGGTAAATTTCTGGCTGCGAAGGGGCTAGAATACGGTTGTTAGGGTCAGAAATCTGCTTCCAAAAACATTGGACAGCCCTCAAAATAGGTGTAGTGGCAGTGGGATTTGGCAATGGTTCAACATAAACTGACATGGAAATGGGAAAATCTGGATCTGGGTAGGCCAGAAACCGAAATTCCTTATAGCGATTCTCCCATTGAATGTCAATTTGTGGGTCGAAAGTTTGGCACTTAATAAATGTGGTGTCCACGGAATGGTAAACCTTCTTAGTGATCACGGAATAACATCTACAATCATGTTGAGCTGCTGAATATCCTAGAAAGATGTACTTTATGGACCTTGGGTCAAGTTTGTTAAGATTTAGCGCTTTTTTGTGAACAGAGAGACACAGTGCAACCAAAAATTTTGAGTGGTAGTTCGGACAAATTCTGGATGTGTGGGTAGGACATGGTGAGGATTTTGGGGGATGCTTGGAATTTGAGGATCCAAGAGGGTAAATGGTTTATAGGTAAGGGAGACCGGGTAACCCTGTTCCGTGGTGATGTATCGATGCACTAACAGAGGTGGATGTGTCCTTGTTGGTGCAGATATGACCCTAATTCTGTGTGAAAGTACACCTTGGCATTATTGGACTTAAAGGATTGGATCTTTGCTTCAAACTGAGTTTGAATCATCTTATGAAATTTCTAGGAGATAGGACCAACCTTAAATTTATTATTTATCAGGATGAGCTAAACATTTCATGCTTATATATTATGGAAATGTTACCTAAAAGGTATAATTTTTTTCTTCTAGTAACTGAAAAATAGCGATAAAAAAACTAGACCCTTCAGTTTAAAACCGAGAAAGACTCCCCACTAGAACCAGTGAGATGTAGATACAAAGGATCTCCAAAAAGGCTAATTTGGCTATGAGGGAGCCACGTCCAGTTTGAGATCCAGAATGATCATCAACTCCTCCCATTATTTGGAGCAATTCTTATATGAATAACAAAAAATAAACAAGAAACAGACAAGCACACAGGAGAATAAAATCAACCAGAGTTCAGAAGATAACCGCAAGACACGACCCAGAGCACACACTCATCCACAAAATAATTTTCCTTAAAAAGAACAAGAAATATAGTCCGTTTTAGGGATTGGCGACTTACCCATTCAGTGACTTTGGCACTAGACGTTCCCCAACGGGTACTGTCGGGTCGGGTCTCAAACTTCTGTCGCTCCATCCCCGCAGGGGTAGAGAATCCGTCGCTGATCACCCAGGTTTGGGTCCATAAGCAGTGACAGGCACGTGGTCAGAGCCCTGGGCTTCTCCCACTGCTTGGGGGCTTACGGTTTCATGTTCTATTTCACTTCCCGATGGGGGTTCTTCCACAAAGTGGTGAGGTATAACTTGTACCGAACTACAGATCAAGTAGCAACGTGACCACAAAAGACCTAGGTTTAAAGAACAACTAAGGACTTTGTACATTATTAGTTTCATAGCAGGTTATACCAAAAAACTAACAATACAAAAGAACAAAAAGAAATTGAGACAATATGTCTTGATTGTTTTCTGATGAGAACAGAAGAAATTGAGAAAAAAGATGTCACTAGATCCTGATGGCATTTTCTGAATCAACTCATGCGTTTCTTTATGGACTTCTAATTATGTTTCCACAACACTCAAGGCTATTTTTGTAGACCTGTCATATTTGTCCTTTAGACGCTTGCAGCTGTTGTTAAATTTATTTCCCATGTTCTCTGAAGTTGGGATGGCACTCTATGCATGGTAGGAAATATAGGAAAAGCTAAATTTACTTTATTGGACAGGGGTTACTCATGTTTTTTTTCTTTTCTACATGTAGAAATCAACTAGAACAAATTATTTCTTCATATAGTTTTGAAGGAAAAGCTAAATTTACTAGCAAGACACTGGAATTTCAAGGAAAAGCTAAACTTACTTTATTGGACAGGGGTTACTCATGTTTTTTTTTTTCTACATTTGGAAATCAACTAGAACAAATTATTTCTTCATATAATTTTGAAACAAGTACTTCATAATTGATTATTTCAGAATTGTTTTTCTTAAGTTCCTTTTTATTATACTTTTCAGGAGTATGGTCATAGGGTGAGACTAGCAACACACTCGAATTTCAAGGAATTTGTCAAGGCTTCTGGGCTGGAATTTTTCCCTCTAGGCGGTGATCCCAAAGTCCTTGCCGGTTGTAAGGAACCATATACTTGTGTCGATAATTTATCTTACACGTTCGTGGATTTATATTGCTCGGAATGATGAGGTAACTTCTATGTATTTGCATTTGCTCTGTAGATATGGTGAAGAACAAAGGATTTTTGCCATCAGAACCTTCAGAAATACATATGCAGAGAAGTCAAATAAAGGAGATCGTATTTTCCTTATTTCCCGCATGCACTCGTCCTGATCCAGATACAAATGTTCCATTTAATGTAGATGCTATAATTGCTAACCCGCCGGCATATGGTAGGAGTCTTTTATCTGTTTATTGCTTGCAACTCAGTCAATTACCAGTTAAATTTGAAGTTATTGATCTTTAGCCTTTTCTAAAAGATATGATCTCAAGACTACAAGTTGATAAACTATGTAATTTACACTAATCTGCAATTGAGACTCACACAAATTGCTTAAAAGTAATCCTTCATGTTTTCTGTCACAAATTGAGATCTTTCATGTACATTTGTCGTTTTCTCTGCAAAAGTGATATATGAATCACATGTGTGACTTTCACAATGGGGCATTGCTGGCAATAAACTTCAGTTTTTCAATTGGCATTGTTGGTAATACACTTCATTTACCCAACATGTCGTGATTTTTTGTTAAACAAATCAATCCATGGATAAGACATAATTTACACCTAAACAAGATTAATCAAACCAACATTTATCACCATAATTGATGGGTTATATAAAGGGATGTTATCGCAAGTCCACTGATCTGTTGCTTTGACCATTGCTGTTCCCACGTACCATCATAAAAAGTTACCCATAAGGTTCTTCAAACAAACAGTAATTATTATGGCTATTATTAGTATGATTATTCGAGGAGAATTCCAAAAATACATAGTTCACCAGATGGGCTCATGGGCCTATAGTGTAGAGAATAGTGTGGAATGCTATTATATCCAACATAAGTACATTAGAATATCTAGATGCTGAAGAATGCTGAAAAGAATATATTTCAACATACAATATCGAAAAGTTATTGTACTCATTGCTAATTAATTGTTAAGATATAAGCCTATTAGGACTTTTAGATGGATAAGATCTACAGATTTGCTTTATTTTTTCTGGGTCCCACTAGGGATGGCAACTGGTCCACCACAGGAATGGCTGGGGGCTTGCAGAAACCCATGGAGTTGCCAGATTTAGCCACAACTAATCTGGTTCGTGCATGTGTTGGCCTCTAGCCTTGATACACTTGAGTGGGGCTTTTAAGGGTGCTAGTTCCATACTTCATGAATCAGTTTTCGGGTAAAGGTTTGCTGGATGTTTGGATAACAACTTAAAAAGGAATATATTGACATGTATAAGTTTTTGTATCTCAGTTGGCTTTATTTGTTGTTTTGTTCTAAAAGTTGCAGCATGACATTCATCCTCACCCTCTATAGCGACCACAATAGTCATCATTGAATCAAAAATATATCACCACTCTCTACATGCTGCAGGGTGGCAACATGGCCCATAATCACATCTACCTCTCTCGGCCTCTTCTTTACTCTTTGCATAAATCTGTGAATCCAGGTCCTGTATGATATGTGTGCAGATCTATAGGTTGGCACTACCAGCAAGGCCAATGGTGGTGGTCGGTAGATCTTTGTGCACCTTTGTTGAAGTTGGTCACTGTTGTTTTTGTAGTTCAATAAACGTGATGATGGGGGTGGAACTGGTATTTATATTTTGGAATCATTTATCTAGAAACTAGCTATAGGTCAATGTATGAAGCCTAAATACCCTTGAAATAATGTAATTTGCAATTTATATGCCATTTTAGTTAACATTGATAGATACAGTGTGAAAGAAATCAATAATTGTGGGGAGGAACTGCCAAAGTTTATTTGTAAATGCTAGTGTTCTAGAGTTTTGATTGTGAATTTAGGCAGGGCGTCAGGGTTCTCTATCCCCCCTATGTTTTATTTTGTATTGGTAGGTGGCGAAAATAATATTCTGGCATATTTGACCATGGTTATAATAGGGAAATTACACATGAATTCCAGTGAATTGAGTAGTTATAAGCTCTATTCTAACATTAGCTGTATGTGGGGTACACATACCATGAAAAATTATAAAAACCTGTATGGATGCTTTTAAAAATTTGTTTTTAATTTATTAACCAACTGTGACATGGAATTCTGCTTGCTCAGGTCATACTCATGTTGCAGAGGCACTTAAAGTTCCAATCCACATCTTTTTCACTATGCCATGGACGTAAGTATCTTCTATTGGTTCATAATTTTCTGAGTCTACCAGTTAGGGACAGGGCAGCGTCTGTGGTTCAGATGAAAATTTGATTGTACAGAATCTGGATTTTGCTAGTCTAGTAGTAGTAGTTCCGTTTGGCATCTAAATGCTTTGATATCGTGAACTTCATCATGAATTCATCAACCAGCCTCAAGTATGATGCATGGCTAACATTCCTACTCTGGGGGGAGGGGTTACCAATTGGTATAGTTAGTATTGTCTTTCTGTTTTTTATGTTTCAGCCCATTGGCTCGCTGTTGGAGTCTATGCGTTGTGTACTTCTCATTAATACATACATCCATTAGTTCCTATTCTTTCAGTATACCGGTGCTAGTACTCTAGATACAATCCTAGCCCAATTAAAACCACCATGTCCCTTCTCTGCAGGCATCATCATGCCTATCAACATGATGAAGTTTACGATCTCTTTGTGGTTCTTCGTGACACTTAGTTTTTAGTTGAAAGTCCCTTAGTCTCCTTGACTCTAATCATTGACATCTTCAACGTTAATAAACAATCTCTTATAGCATCAACAGTACTCATCGACTTTAAGAAAGTAGTGAGAGAAAATATTTAATGTATTTTTATATTTAATAATAAAAATGATAGGCTCCTTATTTATACTAAAGTTTCCCAATTAATCTAGAAAAGTACATAAAAGGAAAATAAACACAACATATATTTAACACTCCCCTCAAGTTGGAGCGTACAAATTGTATGTTCCAAGCTTGTTAGAAATGCAATTAATCTAATGACGTGCGAGTGACTTTGTAAATGTTTCTGCTAGTCGGTAATTTGACTTGATATAACCAGTAGCAATATCTCCTTTTTTCTCAAATAAAATAGCAGTCAATCTCTATGTGTTTGGTCCTTTCATGAAAGATGGGATATGAAGCAATATGGAGAGTTGCTTAATTATAACATATCAGTTGCATCTGTTGGACGGTTATGAACTTCAACTCCTTGAAAACTCTTTCAGCCATATAAGTTCACATGTTGCTTTTGTCATGGCTCGATATTTAGCTTCAGTACTTGACAAAGCAACAACCGATTGTTTCTTGGTTTTCCATGATACAAGATTACCCCCAAGAAAGACATAATATCATGTGGTTGTGGTTGAGCATTTATCAAACACAACCTGATTAGCATCTGTATAGCCAATCACTTGAATGTGTTCTTTTCTCTCATATAATAGGCCTTCTCCGGAGTTCTCGTGACACACACACACACACACACATATATATATATATATATATATATATATGTATATATAGGGGTAGTAATAGTCCACCATAATTTGTGGATTCCGTTATATGTGATTGTATGTATTTTTAGATAGTCAATCATGTTATTTTCGGATACTTTTTATCTCCTCAACTATAGGAGACCTTTAGCCTATTTATTGTTGTAATTGTTTTGTATGAAATCAATCTTGGAGATTTTCATGGTATCAACCTAACTTGGCGATCCTCTCTCGATCATGGCTGGCTATTCTTCTGCCACCACTGTCCCCCTCCATACTCTTCATCTTCTCCCAATTAAACTTTCATCTTTCAACTACCTTATTTGGAAAAACCAAGTTTCCCCTCTATTAGCCTATCAAAACCTAACAGCCCACATCGATGAACCTTATCTTCCCCACCCGAAACCATCATTATCGATGAAAAATCCTCCGCCAATCCCGATTATGCTACCTGGAAAGATTCCGACCAAAAGGTTCTTCTCTTGCTCCAGTCCTCCTTATCGGAAGAAGCCATGGCCGAAATCATCGGCCTACCCATCGCTAGACAGGTTTGGCTCGCTCTTGAGGCTGCTTACAGCCACCACTCTTTGGAGCTAATGCACACTCTCCGGGACACGCTTCGTCAATTGCAAAAGGGTTCTTCTACCGTTTCTGAATATGGTCAGAAATTCAAACTTATTTGTGATCAACACGCAGCGGTTGGTCACCTTGTAGACGACAATGACGAATGCCACTGGTTTCTTTGTGGTCTTGGATCGGCCTTTGAAACATTTTCCACAGCCCATCGGGCCCTTCCATCATCATCTTTTCGCGATCTTCTGTCTAAGGCGGAAAATCACGAACTTTTCATACAAGTTATTCATGTCCCTACCGCTCCACAAGCTGCCTTTGTCGCACAACAGCTCCGTTCCGGAAGTTCTTCTCGAAATTTCCAAGGCTCTTCTTATTCCAATCGAGGTCGGTCCCGTGGGTCGGGCCGTGGTCGTGGCCATAGACCACCATACTGCCAGCTTTGCAGGAAAGAAGGACACTATGCTACTGCGTGTCCTAGCTTATCTACCTTCGCTTAGCGTGCTCCTACCCTTGATGCAAATCTTGCACAAGCATTTCAGGCTCAGTGCCATGTTACTCGAAACTATCCGGATTGGCATGTTGATTCGGGCGCCACCGCTTATATGACACCGAAGCAAGATGATCTTGCCGCCATCTCACTAATCCGGGTAATGATTTTGTGACTTCTGGAAATGGCTAGTCCCTACCTGTTTCTGAAATTGGAGACACTTCTATCAACAACAAGCTCCCGTTACATCATGTCCTTGTGGCTCCTCATCTCACAAAGAGTCTTCTTTCTATTAGTAGACTTGCGCATGACTAACCTGTTGATGTACTATTTTCTCATAATTTCTTTCATATTCAGGATCAAAAAACGAAAGAAGTTCTAGCCCGCGGAACTTGTGAAAATGGATTATACTTTCTTCAGGAGGGACAACGTGCATTTGTGGCATCTTGTGCATCACAACATCTCAAAGCTTCGTTTGAAAGGTGGCATAGTAGACTCGGCCACGTCTCTTTTGATATTAATTCGAACTTACATTAAACTGGTCATTTATGTGTTACTTCGTTATTACCGAAACCGGGACTTTGTTCTTCTTGTCAATTATCAAAGTCTCATCGTTTACCATTTGATTTAAATCACAAACGTTCTATGCATGCTTTAGATTTAATCCATTGTGATCTTTGGGGACCCGCTCCTATTATTTCGTCAGATGGTTATTGTTACTATGCAGTTTTTATTGACGATTATTCCTAGAGCTCATGGTTCTTTCCTTTAAAACTAAGTCCGAGTTTTATAATGCCTTGTTGGTTTTCGTACCTCTAGTGCAAAACCAACTTTCATGCAAAATCAAGGTTTTTCAAAGCGACGGTGGCACCGAATTCACTAACAACCGGGTGCAACAATTTTTTCAAGAACATGGGATTCAACATCGCTTTTCGTGCCCTCACACACCCCAACAAAATGGGAGAGCCGAAAGGAAGCACCGACATATCACCGAAACCGGTCTTGCAATGTTATTCAACTCTCAAGCTCCGGCGAATCTATGGGTGGATGCTTTTACCTCCGCAACGTTCATCGTAAACAGGTTACCCACTCCATTGCTTGATCATAAATCTCCATTTGAAGTTCTTTTTGGCCAAGTTCCATCCTATGCAAACTTTTTGCAATGTCGGATGTCGGGTGTTCCCTTACTTGCGGGACTATACCAAACACAAACTTTCACCACRAAGTGCTTCGTGTATCTTCATTGGCTATACCCCTAAGTATAAAGGTTACTGGTGTTTGGATCCAGCCACCTCCCACATATATGTTGAGCGTCACGCTCAGTTTGATGAAGATGTGTTTCCTTTCAGTGGTAATGTTCCGCCTGTAAATGAGGCTAAACTCGTTTTTTCTAACTTTGATGAATCATTGCCTCCTACAGTGCTCAACAAACCAAGCCCTACCATTCCACAAGATTCATCAGTTACATCCCCATGCATCCATGCATCTACTTGTGTCTTGTGTCCCATCACCACTAATCAAACTCATCACACACATGATTTTCCTACTACACCACCATCACCAAGACACACTAGCCCTACTGCCTCCTCAGCCTTATCACGCCCTCCCTTGCCAACACCTATGACTTCCCCTACTGCCTCCTCAGTTCATACACCAGCCCAAACCACTTCCACCCCAGCCTAACAGCCTCCTACACCGGCCTAATCCCCAACAACCCCTTCCTCGCCAACCGCACTATTCCCTGCCAACTCCCATCCTATGGTAACTAGATCTAAAAATGGTATTTTCATGCCTAAATACCATGCTGACCTCTCCATGTTCCCCAACAAGTTACATCATGCTCTTTTTGTAGCACATGATCCTAAGGGATATAAGTCAGCAGCTAAATATACCAAATGGGTGAAGCCTATGCAAGAGGAAATGCTTGCGTTACATAACAACAAAAGGTGCCCATCCTTCCAATTCTAATTTAGTTGGCTCAAAGTGGATTTTCAGAACAAAATACAAAGCAGATGGGACCATAGATCGATATAAGGCTCGCTTGGTTGCTCAAGGGTTCACACAAATTCCTGGACTCGATTACTCTCATACTTTCAATTTGGTAGTCAAGTCATGCACTGTACGCGTTGTCCTGGCCCTTGCAACTATCTATGAATGGCCTTTACATCAATTAGATATCAAGAATGCCTTCCTAAATGGCAATCTCACTGAAACCGTTTATATGGAACAACCACCCAGCTTTATCGACCGTCACTATCCCAATCATGTGTGTCGCTAACAAAAATCCCTCTATGGTATCAAACATGCCCCGTGTGCATGGTTTCAACGACTTAGCACCTTTCTCACTAATTGTGGTTTTCATTGCAGCCAAGCCGATACCTCCCTCTTTGTTTTCAAGGCAAACACTGTGCTCATCTATCTCCTTTTATACGTCGATGATATCATCTTAATAGGAAACAACAACTCCTTAATAAGAGATTTCGTTTCTTAACTTCACAAGGAGTTTGCCATCAAAGACTTGGGAGCGTTAGGTGGTCTCACACACGCAAACGGGTCTCTTTCTAAGTCAGGCTAAGTATGCTTATGACATTCTAGCTCGTGCAGGTTTATTGGATGCAAAACCCGTGGCCACTCCTCTTTCTACATCAGAAACATTCACCTCAAAGGGAGTTTCGTTTCATGATCCTACCTTTTACAGATCCTTGGTTGGTGCCCTTCAATACCTAACCATCACTAGACCAGAGTCGTCATACGTTGTGAATCAAGCTAGTCAATATCTCCAATCACCCACTACATCCCATTTTCAATCTGTCAAACGCATTTTACGCTATGTGAAAGGGACAATTTCTTTTGGCTTAACCTTTGATAGACCAGCTACTACCAAATTAGTGGGTTACTCGGATGCAAATTGGGCGAGGTGCATTGAAACGCGTCGGTCTACCTACGGTTACTTTATCTATCTTGGTGGAAACATTGTTTCTTGGAGTGCCAAGAAACAACCCGTAGTCTCCAGGTCTAGCTGCGAATCGGAGTATCGTGCTATGGCAAATACTGCAGCTGAGATTATATGGCTCACGCATCTTCTTCGTGAACTTCATGCATTGCCTCCGGATCGGCCGACGCTACTCTGCGACAACAAAAGTGCCATCTTTTGAGTCAAAACCCGGTCTCACAAATGGGCTAAATATATCGACATTGACTATCATTTTGTTGGGGAACTAGTCTCCTCCAGTTGTCTTCACACTAAATTCGTTCCTTCCAATCTCCAGGTGGCAGATATATTCACAAAGAGTCATTCTCGACCCCTCTTTGAACGGTTTCGCTCTATGCTCCGCATTAGTTCCCCACCTGTACGATTGACGGGGGGTAATAGTCCACCATAATTTATGGATTCTGTTATATGTGATTGTATGTATTTTTAGATAGTCAATCATGTTATTTTAGGATAGTTTTTATCTCCTCAATTTAGGAGACCTTTAGCCTATTTATTGTTGTAATTGTTTTGTAAGAAATCGATCTTGGAGACTTTCAGGTAGGTTCATACCAAAATGATACCTATTTAAGAAAATAAGAGAATGAACAAATTACATACAAAATCACATGTGATTTTACATTAACGGCCAAAAATATGTGTGGGCGACCCAATGGCCGCGTGAATCAGATGTGATTTTGTACGTGATGTTAGTGTAAAATCACATGTGACTCGATCTCTCTTATTTCTTAAATAGGTACCATTCTCGTAAGAACCCGACTCTATATATATTTATTAGAACACGAATGGTTGCATTTTGATGGCTGTCACACAGAGTATGTAGAAATTGGCTGAGGTGACTCATTGGGAACGCTATATCATGACATGTAGCCGTAAGGTAGTGGAGTTTGCCTATCTGGGGCAGAACAATCTAGTTGCATGTTGCATACATACTTAAGATGTTGGAGTCCAACATCAGCTAGACAAGACCATCACACCAGCATATATGTAGGAACCTCGCCTCTCTTTATCAGGGTTCGTTTTAGAGGGAACTGAAAGGGGTTACATATATCCTTACATGGTATTATAGGCGGCCTACCATCATCTAGGGACTCAACTCACTCTACCGCCTCCGTTTTTGAATGCATCATCTAGCATTCATTTGAGGGGTGCTTTGGAGTTGCACGAACTATAGCGAGCACTTCTTTCTCTGATAGACTCGCTTCTTGAAGCTCCGCCCCTTATTGAGAAAAAAGCGTTAACGCGCCTTTACTTTTTTAATCATATAATACCTTCTTTCTACTTCTTTCTCAAAGTAAAAGAAACAACCTTTCACCTATATATTTTTAGGGATATATGAAAGAAGCAACCTTGCTAAGAAAATGTAGCCTTGAGCTTGAAAGCAAGAAGCAACAGCTTTCACTCTTGTTGGAGCTATTAAGCATCTTAGCTAGACGTGAATCATCAAAGTATGTATGTAGGAACTTACCTCTCTCTATTAGGGTTCTTTTTAGAGGGAATTCAAAGGGTTCCACATATCTTCTGGTCCATGTTCTGGTAGTGTGTATTTGTTGGAGGTAATCCTATATCCGGACCGGAAGAGCAAGAAGTAGGAACTAACATTGAATTTGGGTATTATGAAACGGATGTATAACCAGTGGCGGATCCAGGATTTTTGTTCAGTGGGGTCACCTTTAAGGTAGACTAAAAACCCGCAAAATCGTCCGATGTGTTTTTAACCTAATTACAACGTTTTCGAGGGAATTTTAAAGTTTTTTGGTTGATTTCGAAGGATTTTTTTAGTGTTTTTGTCRATTTCGAATAACTTTTTTGGTTTTTTTGATTGATTTCAACAGATTTTATTTGTTAGAGTAACAGCTTTGATTGGGGTTGGGGGCCCCGGAAAAATGTAATTGGGGGGAAAGTGATAGGTAGATCATGTAAAACCTAAATTTTAACCTATGAATTTTTGTTTTTGAGTTTTTGACTGGGGTCCCTTCCCCCCTCCTTTAAACCACTACATCCGCCCCTGTGTATAACATGTGTGTGTATATATATATAAGTATTATGAAACGGATGTATAACATGTATATATATATATATATATATAAGCTTTGAGAGAATTGTAGTAGGTGAAAGCTTAATAGTATATTTCACTCTTATGAAAAACAGAATACAAGGAACCCTATTAAACCAAGCTACCACCTAAGAAAAAAGGAAACTACGAAACAGACTACAATTAGGAGAGCCTTTAAAAAATAATTACATAATAAGGAAACTCCTAATCCAAACTTGATCGATCCCAATACGCCTTATTCTAGACCTAATCGAAATCCTAATATCGTTTACACTCCCCCTCAAGCTGAATAGTACAGATTGTACAGTCCAAGCTTGTGAACAGGCTTTTCAAAGTCTGGCCTGAATAAGGCTTTTGTGAGAATGTCCACCGTTTGTTGAGTAGTAGAAATGTATTATACTGAAATGACCTTTGCACCAATCTTCTCTTTGATATAATGTCTATCCATCCTTACATGCTTAATACGGTCTTGATGAACATTATTTAGACACATTCCTATGGCGGACTTGTTGTCACAAAAAATATTGATAGGTCTTTGAATTGGATACCCAGTTCTGCAAGAAGTAGCTCTAGCCATAATGCCTCATCTACCCCTCGGGATAACGATCTAAGTTTAGCTTCTGCAACTCTTAGCCACTAGAGGCTGTTTTTTGCTCCTCCAAGTGATATATTTCCCATTACAAAGCTACAGTATCCCGAGGTGGATCTAGTATCTTCACGGGAACTGCTTTCGTGAAAACATCAACTTTATTGTTCCCTTCATTTTTCCTGAAGAAAGGACTGGGGTTCCTTTAGATACCATAGTAATGTGTATGCATGCTTCTCAGTAATATATACATACTTCCCGACTCTCATTTTTTCCGATATTCTTATATTATTTGCTTTTTCGCATTCTTTAGGCCTACAAGTGAATTTGCACATCCTCTTTCACGGGTTAGACAACCTGTTGCAAATAGAGTAAGTGTCTTTATTGTTTTCAAGTTCAACTGAGTACTTCATTAACACATCTTTGAATATTTTATTGTTAATGTGATCCTCAATGCGTGTTGCAGCTGTCATATCAGATTGTTGATTCATTAATTTGGATGGGGATTCGAGATATAATTAATGAGTTCAGGAAGAAAAAGCTGAGGCTAAGACCTATTACGTATTTAAGTGGTTCAAATAGTTCTCCCCATGATTTGCCTTATGGATATATCTGGAGTCCACATCTTGTCCCCAAACCAAAAGGTCTGTCTATATTCATACATAAATGAACAGGTTATAAGTGGATTACTTATGCTTCAATATGTTAATTATGTGCATTCTTGTCTTAGCATCTAAACGACATGTGTTTTGCTTTAGTAATTAGCAAGATTTATGATATTGATGCCCGCACTCACATTTTTCTTGTCTCCATCTCTTGCTTAGTCTCTTTCATGTGTGATTTTTTCCTAACTCTTTTTTTTGTATCAAAAGCTCTAGTACCATTGTGTTTCATTCCATTTTCTAAATGTTCGATCCGTAAAATTCGTAGTTGTTAAAAGCACGCATGAGATGTGCCTAGGCGTATTCACGAGGCTCACTAAGGCCTTGTGCTTTGGCTGTGGCGCCTTGTGGGCCTAGGCGTGCCTCATAACTTACCCTAATATTGAATAATTTTTCTCATCTTCTAACTTCTTTTATTAAATAGATGACATAAGTCAAGCCATAGTATACCCAAACCTTAAATTTCTCCCTCACAGCTCACACTTTAAACCCTTCTCCCTTTCCCCTCTATCAAAGTATTGCTGGTTGCCGCATTGGAGGCTTCTACTTGCTGCATAGTTGAGTTGTGTAACTCTGTGTGTATATGTCTATATACACATTTTGTTAATATGCCTCTCGCATTCCTGAGTGCTGCGCCTAGGCCCCGAAACCCCTTTGCGCCTAAATGCGCCTTGAGCCTTTTAATAACTTTGTTAGCATTCATATACACTCAATTGAGGGTAAGGGGTTGGAGATTGTGTTAAGGCATAATGCTTATCGAAGGCTAATTCTTGCATGTGATGAAGTACTAAAGCCTAGTGCTAATGATCACCATATAGCTGCTATATTGTGTTCATTAACACTAGAATCATTGAGTTTAGTTTCAGCAATGCATAAGTGCTGAGCTTAAAAGTAGGAAAATGCAGAAGTGAGATGATGAATGGTTGGATACCAAGTGTATGATGATGCCACTGACAGTACGCAACCATTATGACCAAGAAAGCCATCACTAGAACTTTGTTTAGCATTCATGCGGTCATGCACATGGAAATCTGGTAACTTTCAGAGCCATGAATAATATATAAATATGTTAAAGGTTCTAAGTGTCTATTTGGATCATGTAGCAATTTGGTTGTCAAAGAAATCACTGACCATTGGACACATTGCAGCATGGGTAGGAGAAATGTAGATCTATGCATACTTTGAATTAAATTGTTTAATGGATGACGAAGTGAAGGATTACTTCTACAAGTTTGCTATCTTTGAACTAATCATGTAAGAAATATGCAACGTCTGAATCTTGTATTTTGTCTTCATTATTCTTCTAGAAAGGAAAATAATGACTCAATGGAAGTCCTTGGTTTTATGCAATGAAACTGTATAATGTTTCAGAAAGCAATTTTGCAGAATTTGTTTTGGTAAGCTGATTATCCATTTCATAAGGACCAATGAAAAAGGGTAGGAGAAATGTAGATCTATGCATACTTTGAGTTAAAATGTTCAATGGATGACGAAGTGAAGGATTACTTCTAGAAGTTTGCTATCTTTGAACTAATCATGTAAGAAATATGCAACGTCTGAATCTTGTATTTTGTCTTCATTATTCTTCTAGAAAGGAAAATAATGACTCAATGGAAGTCCTTGGTTTTATGCAATGAAACTGTATAATGTTTCAGAAAGCAATTTTGCAGAATTTGTTTTGGTAAGCTGATTATCCATTTCATAAGGACCAATGAAAAAGGGTAGGAGAAATGTAGATCTATGCATACTTTGAGTTAAAATGTTCAATGGATGACGAAGTGAAGAATTACTTCTAGAAGTTTGCTATCTTTGAACTAATCATGTAAGAAATATGCAACCTCTGAATGTTGTATTTGGTCTTCATTATTCTTCTACAAGGGAAAATAATGATTCAATGGAAGTCCCTGGTTTTATGCAATGAAACTGTATAATGTTTCAGAAAGCAATTTTGCAGAATTTGTTTTGGTAACCTGATTATCCATTTCCTAAGGACCAATGAAAATGCATCTGTTTAAAGTTTTTACTTCTTATATGTGCAATAATGTGTTATGCTCATTTCAATGTGATTTGTTCTCTGCAGCACTTGATAAAGGACTTGAGTTGTCTTGTATTTTGTTTATTTTGTTGGAAGTTGAACCTACTTTCTTGGTCTTCCAATATCTTGTGGTGTCCCCTATTGGTGATGGATGACATGGATATTGCTATTGAACAATTATTTTACATTTGTCTTGCGAAATCTCAAGATTGACGTCATGGGTCCATTGGTTTATGCCATTCTGTATTTTAAATTTTCTTTTCTCTGGTTCTCATAAAAAAAGACTGGCCATGGAGACCTCTTAATATTGATCTTAGTGGACCACAAACTTTTCTACAAAAAGAAGTATCTAAAAAGAACCTTCGAATGGGGAAAACAGAACTGGTGCGGATGAGTATATATATTCTGTGCATGCTTAAGCATATAATAATGTTTTGTATTCTTGCTTGATTTCAGATTGGGGTCCTCATATTGATGTCGTAGGCTTCTGTTTTCTAGACCTTGCATCAAATTATGTACCTCCAGATTCACTTGTGGAATGGCTTGAAAATGGTAAAAAGCCCATCTACATCGGATTTGGTAGCCTTGTGAGTCATTTTCCTTGGATCTAATTTATTACTGCACTTAGTTATTCATTTATTCTCTTAACTAGTTGCTTGCCTATTTGATGTCTTATGCCTTAAATAGTGCAACCATGTAAAAATAATTACTCCAACAGTCACTAAGGGCCTGTTTGTTAGCAGCTTAATGAGCTTACTGGCTCACAGCTTATTCGGTCAGCTATAGATGACTATTTGGTAGTGGCTTATGATATAGAAAGTGGCTTATTCAGTAAGCTTCTAGGGAGGAGCTTTATGCAGAAAGCCATTTTTTTCAAACCCATCCCTCATTTAAAAAACACGCTCATTCCATTTATGAAAAAACTCTTTCAAACAAAAACCTTCTCAATCTATATAGACTGATTAATCCAAACAAGCAACTTTATTGGTACAGGACTTAATGAAAAACCAACCAAACAGCCCCCACTTGACTTGTCATGTTCTGAATAAGGTTCTTGCAAACTGTGAATCTTTTAAAATAATTAGTACTAGAAATCTTACACGTAAAGTTCGTAATTGGAAGTAACCAATTAGGATTATGATGAAACCTAGAAATCGATCACTGATTCTCAAAACTTCTGTCACTCCATCCCTACAGGGGCAGAGAACCCATCGCTGTCTCGGTTGTGCTACTAGAGACATATGTGGTTGTGTAGCCAACAGTGATGCATTTGTAGCCTAAGCTTTTTTGTTGGCTTTGGCTGACTTCTGCTATTCTACAAGGATATAAATCTGCAGTTCGAGTCCCCTCAGGGCCATTGGAGGTTGTTTGGCTGTTAACTTCAGGGCCCTATGGGATCAGTCGAGGTGTGCAGAATTTGGCCCAGACACCCATGGTTATAAAAAAAGGATATTAATCTTTTATTTATTCCTAATTTCAATGTCCATTCATGTCCTCCGTTCCATTTTCACTTAAATTGATGATGAATGCAACTTCATCTAGCAATCTCGTCAAAAGAACGCCCTATGATTTATTCTTATGAATGCAAAACATAAAAGTTGTGCTCACATCGTCATAATCCATTTGAAAATTGACTAGGATATTTTATGGCCATCCTTAGTTTTAAAAAGCGCGACACGGTCCGAGGGTCCCGGAAGCCGATGCGTGATGCGTGATGCTGATGCCAGCATCACGCACGTGATGCACCCCGTATTCAAAAAATACTTATAAATTAATTCTGCATATCAATTTCTACTTTAAAAATACTTACCTATCAAAATACTTCATTTATAACACAAAGTAGTTCAAAACGTGGCATTAGAATCTTAAAAAGTTCGTGAATCGGAATAACAGAACACACAAACTACTACCATTAAGAACATAAGTAGATGTCTAATAGTCCCCAATCCCTAAACTAAATGACCAAGTGACCAATTAATACTCCCTATCACGCACGTTCTATTTCTTTTTTAATTTGATTGATAAAGCGACTTCTGCTTCTTCTATTTGGCTGTCGGCTTCTTCTATTAGGTCACCATTCAGTCTCACGTTCTATTTTAATCCATAAAAAGCCCAACTAAAAATTGAAAAAGGGAGCCCAAACATGAAACATACAGGATGCGCTGATGCATAGGTGATGCACGCATCGTGTGATGCGTAGGTGATGCGAGCGCATCATGGAATCGCTTCGCATCAGTTCATCTGATGCGTTACCTCAAGCGCATCAGAGCGCATCATGCATCAGAGCGCATTATGCGCGCATTTTTAAACCAAATGGCCATCAGGTGTAATTTGAGCCATAAAAGGGTTTTAATACTAGATCTTCTTGTTGCATGCCAACTGACCTGTTTGCTTGTTTTTCTAATTTCATCGCTACATTACTTCTATAATCTTTTTGTTTCACTGCCAATAAGGTTTTGAGTAAATGTTGTTTAACTGAGACCGTCTTCTCTTACTTCCTACTCCATTACTACCAGCAGATTTTCCATGATGAGAAATCTTTTCTATTTATTTGTTCAGCAGCTTTTTGTTTTTTCTGATTGATGCAGCCTGTTCAAGATCCTGATGGAATGACAGAGATAATAGTTAAAGCCCTGGAAATTACTGAACAGAGGGGTATAATTAACAAAGGCTGGGGTGGCTTGGGAAACCGTACGTAAGATGTGTATATTTCATTCATCTAGTTTTCTTGATTTGAAGAATACTCCCTCCGTCCCAAAATAAATGTTCACAATGAAAAAGTCACACTACTTTAGAAATATGTAATAATTACACTTTTTAATCAACCAAATGACAATTTTACCCCTAATAATAGGGAAAGAAAATTTCTTCATCTTATAGTGAAGAGTAGAATTGGGAAATAGACACTTATTTTGAAACAAACTTTATAGGAATGTGGACACTTATTGAGGGACAGAGGGAGTATATGGTTTTAATCTGCAGAGAGAGATACTTGCTAACAATTTGTTTTACAGTGGCAAAGTCAAAAGATTTTGTGTACTTGCTGGATAATTGTCCGCATGATTGGCTATTCCTACAATGTGCTGCTGTGGTAATGCTTCTTTACTATTCAACACATGTGTTTGTGCAAAAAGGCTTTTTTATAAGTATATAATTATAATGGCAAATGCAGCTCACACACACTCCCCACCTTTGGCGAGGTTGGAACCCTTGACCTATAGGTAGGTTGGGTTATCGACGACTAGGCCAAAGGCCCTTTGGTTTTGTGCAAATGAGTTTAAAGTTTGAAGAATACATATATACTTGTATTATCATATTTAAAATTTAAGAAAAGGCTTCAATTTCATGACAGTCCTCTAAAACAAAAGTTATTTGAGATTTGTATTAAACAGCAACACACTGCTTAAGTCCAGCATTCACCATCACTCTTGCAGGTTCATCATGGTGGTGCGGGAACAACTGCTGCTGGTCTTAAAGCGGCGGTGAACTTTTTTTCTGTCTAGCGACTTCCAAGCACTGTCGTATTTTATTGTTTCTCAATATTTATTCTTGATTAATTTCAGTGTCCAACGACTGTGGTTCCTTTCTTTGGAGACCAACCGTTTTGGGGAAGGCAGGTGCATGCTAGGGGAGTAGGCCCCCCTCCAATTCCTGTCGATGAGTTCTCACTTAAGAAATTGGTTTCTGCGATACAGTTCATGTTAAAACCAACAGTAAGCATGAATATTATTGAAATGTTTCCATCTGTCAGGTTGAATTTTTATCAAGTGATATGTTGTAAAAGAGAGAATTCTATTTCTTTTTTACATAATTTACAAGTGCCACTAATGGGATAATTATACCTAAATCATAGCAAAATCTAACAACTTTAGGAAACAGAGTATTTGCAAGTTGAATTCCAAATATCGACAAGTTCCTAGTAGTGACCAGCCACTAATCGAGGAGAAATCCTGAAAGTGAACTTTCTTGTTTCAAACAATTCTTAGCTTTTGATTGGTTATTCTACAACCCTTTATATATGCTTCGCTTTAGATGCATGCTTTGTAACACTAACTACAAATACGTAGTTTGATCATCGTGGCATGGGTTCATTAAAACATTTTCTTTCACCACAAACCTACACTTTCTTGATTATCTTCCTGATGTTGGATTTACATGCTACCCTTTGGGATAGATGACAAATCTGCATACATCCCACCCCATAACCCCTGCTTTCATGTGGGATCGTGGGTGGGTTTGGTGTGGAACCATACTGAGGGGATGAAGTTTTTGATTCCCACCCATTTGAGGTGCCATTGGTGGGTTTATGTTCCTTGAAATCTATGTAATTGTATTTTTTAAATTATGAAACATTAGGTGAAAGTATGTGCTACTGGACTGGCAAAGGCCATGGCGGACGAAGATGGGGTTAAAGGTGCGGTAGATGCCTTCCATAAACATTTTGCTCGTAGGAAAGCCAAGCCCGAGCCTACTGAACCACCCAGCAACTTCTCTGTCAGACGCTGTTTGGGCTGCACCTGATATGATGATATTCATTCAGGTATTGTGTCAATATTTGTGAAAATGTTGTAGAAATTTCTTTTTGTTGTCAAGTGTTTCTAGTTCTTTAAGTTCCTTTTTCTGTTACCATTTTGTTCATTTGTGAGTAATACATACATACAGGGAATAAATAAACATCATGAATCAAAAGTTTGTATGGTTTATGGTGATCATCGATTTTCTTTCCTTTCCTTTTCTGAACTTTAAACAATCAGTTACAGAAATGTCAGCTTCTGATTGGTCAACAGACCGACTGCTTTCTCTTTTATTTATTTTTACAATTTTGCCATTTTAGAAATGTAAAAGTAATTCTTTTTCCGATATGATTTCATGTTTTGAATTTCACCTCTTATCAATGTTATTTCATGTTCCAAACTTTAGGGTGTTTGATATTATTTTTCTTGTTCCAAGATTCCTATTTTATTAATATTAATAAATATCATTATATTTATCTGAAAATGAAATTGTTCCGAAAGTAATAACGAGCATGCAAAACTCATACAATTAAATGATCAAAAATAAAGAATTATGTTCGTTGATAAATTCAAACATGTTATGTCGTTAAATAATAAAGCCATTATATACTTGTTTATATGAAAATTACAGTTCTTTTGGGGATTGAAATTGACCTCTTAGGCCAGTCACCTAGTAGATCGCTATGTACCTTTTATGACATGATTCTCTTGGGTTTTGATTTAGCAACTACATCTGGCTGGTAATTCACCAATTGTTTCAATTACAAAAAGAAATAGCATCACTCAACGATCTTGTAAACACGTCAAAAAATCGATCACAAGTCGAAAATGAAAATCAATGGCTACCGATATATCTATGGGGGATTTTCTGCAGAAAATCTATCTACAATCAGTGTCAAATATCAAACTTGAAATCTACACCCTCCAATATGACAAGATTTCTGATACTCTACCACATAAAACCAATAAAAACATGCCACATAAAGTGCCCATACTTTTAGAAATTATGAGGCCAAGTGAATAAAATTCTAAAAACATGGTGTCCATATTAGAATGCATCAAGAGGCATCATTTATTTCAAAACACACAGAGATATCTGAAAGGACATCTTCAATATACCATTTGCAGAAACCAAATGGGATTTAAGACGAAACCTGAGATCGAACCGCCTTCCAGAGCTTCACCCATTCCACCATGGTCTGGGCTGCATTCACAAACACCGCATGCAATGGTCCGAGCCGCTCCTTCACGGCTGCAGCCATCTCCGTCACACAATCCTCTGCTGTCACCGCTGCTGGAGACAGCTTTAAGGTCTCAAAAAACGGAACAACATCCTCCATCAGCTTCACTCCTTCCCACTCTTTCTTCAAACTATCGATCGCGCTTCCTTTTTCATTCCTCCAAACATATGGAACCCCGCTTTTCACACCTAACTGCAAATGATCACATACCACTTTCACAACAAGACCACACCATATATCTTCCATTGTTTCCCACCTTACTTTCCCTTCCTTTACCAGCTTTAAAGCCGGCAACATCGCGGGGCCCACCAGCTCCCGGTCAAAAGCTATGTTGATTCCACTCATGGGCATCATTGACTTCAAGGGTACGGTCAAAACAGCATCAACATACCTAGAGTTCCTCATATCTGGCTTCAGTGCTTGCGTTGGTGCATCGTAGTCTGCTAAATTGAGCCAAAGTCCACATGAAAGAGCACATGGGACGCCACTACGTAAGCTAAAAGGGTAGCCACGAACAAAATCTGCTCCCTTTTGATATGGGTCATAGAGCGTGTTGAAGAAGAAAGGAGTTGCTGGAGTTTTAAGGTTGGTGATGTGTTGGGTGATTATGTCTACAAATTCACCACTCTTGGTTTTAGCCGGGGTGCAGTCATCATCGATTGATATTATGTACTTTTTATCGGATACAAGATAGCCAAAATAACGGCATGAGTATCCAGCAAACAGAGCAGCATTAGAAGATCCAACCACTTTGAGTATATCTATCTCGGTATAGATACGAACATCAAAGCCATCAGGGATTTTTAGTTCTTTAAGGTCGGGATCTTTCACAATTATCAAATGGAATCGAGAAAATATAGGTCTCCATTCCTCCATGAAAGACGTAAGATCAGAGCGGAAAGCTCCAATCACAATATCCACTTCTTTGTCATTAACAGTTGGTAGAGACATATTGTGATAAATCCAAGAAAAAAGGCAATTCAATGAAATTGCACCTGGAGATTGGATAGAGATTTAACAGTGAAGGAGCAAGATCAAAGGTTGTCTGGCCTTACAACTTTTCCGAGCATCCTGTCATAAAAAAATTCCAACATTTAGGAAGAGCAACCACCATGAGGATGCAAATTGGATCAGTCGAGCACAACTTACTAGTGGGAAGGACAGGTGTTAGAACAAGCTGGATATTAAGCGCTTGAATCATAGAAAGAATTTCCTCCTTCCCGGTTGCCACAAAGAGTTTCAAAATCTTTTCAGTTAGTTTCCCAGCTTTCAAGGTTCTCTGCAAAATAAGAAAACCAACATCACTGAAGTATTCGACAATCACCCAAATCAAAAAGAGGAATCTTAAAAACACTAGTAAGCTAGAATTCCCAGGGTAAAGTTCAAACATGGTACATAGTAGTAGCTGGCAGGTCAGATTGAACAACGATGAGTAGCAGATCAAGTAGGTGAGTCAATTAGGGAAACTTCTTTGAATGGCTCAAAATGGGTAGCAGGTCTAACAGATTGCTTCACACATCGGGTTCTAAACTCACCTCTTTTCTCATTCATTTTTCTTTTCATTGCAAAGAAACATTAATGTCAACAAGAGAATAATAAAAGTAAAACCATATTGAATAGCCATCACATCAAAGTATTGAATTTGTTTTTGTTTGATAAAGAGACTGAAATTGATAGCATCATACAAAATGAAAGAATTCATAAACATCAAAATTTAACATTTGGTCAATCTAATTGAAGTCCTCTTGTTTATTTGATAAAAGAATGAACTTACAAGTTTGTTCACTAAGAATAACATTTAAAAAGAAAAAGAAAAAAGACCTTCATTACCACTATTCCAAAATGACATCAATATTTGCTGCAATACTAGTGACATTCAAACTTCAGATAGACATGAATGTTTTTAGTGTCTCATAATGTTCTATTTTTGTAATAAAGAAACTCTTCTTTTAGACCACACAACACTCAAAACTAATACAAGGAACTTTTTTCTGATGGAGATGATGATACTTTTGAAATGTTTAATGACTCATAAATAGGTGTGTTATAAAGCTAAATTGTAGTTATTAGTGTGAAGGAAGCAATGACAACAACTGGCAGTTCTTTTGTTGAAGAGGTGAAACTGAGAGTGTGAAGAGGTTGGTATGGGATTTTTACATGGGCATCCATCCAAGGTTTGACCGGTTATTTCTTCCACCCAATACAACCAAAAATTTTGAGATCTCGACTTATATGATTTTGGCAAGCCTAATACAACCTGAACTAAATGGTTGTTGTCAGATGCCATAAACATCATGTTGTTAAGCTATATAACAAAAAAAATTAACAACCAATGCAATCAGCCATTAGTTATCATTATATCGTACTCCCAAGTACTATTAAGTAACGTATTAGAAATGCTGAATTTCTGAAGGACTCAAAACTGCATGTGAAGCATGGGTAACTTGGGGCAAGTGCAAGTAAAAAGATATAAAGACGTACACAACTATTGGCAAAATTACTCCTTTGTGAGAAAAAGATTCAATTCATGGAATCTCTCTCTTTGCGAAATGCAAGGTAATGTTGCCCCAACCATCATGAAAGCCGAGAAGCTTTGGTGCATGGAGGTTACTCTTTTACAGAGTTATCAAATTCATTCCAGTCATACATATACAACATACATATACCAACATCGTTAGAACAATCATCATTTTATTCTTCTCGGTTTCGAAATAAAACTACATGTTTTTCACTTTAGAATCGATGGTAAGTGAAGAGTCTGGATCCTCCAGTTTATCCCATCCCATTTATATTCTAGCCTTTGCTTATTTCCCAAATTATATAAAATGAACTACCGTACAGAGATTAGATTAATTATCCTACATATATATATCACATCACTTCCCTCGCCCACTGCTGACTTTCATCACTGGCTATGAATGTGATCATTATTGATACAAACACCATCAGCAGGGCTATGCACATGTGACTTCGGACCATCACACACCAGACCTGAAAGAACAGAGACCAGTATCTTTCAGCTGAAAGCCAGTTCCCATAACCCCATGGTTGGAAAACTAGTTGGTTTTGCCAGGTCTATAACCTGAGAAATCAACTAATTTGAAGAATGGCAATCAGACAAATAGAACTCAGACCACTAGCATTCAGCTGGCAGCCAGCTTTTGTGTTTGGAAAACAAGTTATTGGTTTGGCCGGGTCTATAACCTGACAAACCAACTAAATCCAAACAGGACCAATTTACTTTACTTCCACAAAAGGACATTGGTTCATGACACACATAAAACAAGCTCTAATCAGTGAGTCTACTGTGAACTCTCCTCTCATAACCTCTCTCTCGCTTCACAGCCTCTAGCCATCGTTCCTTCTTGATCCCAGTCTAGTTGTCCGCTTATATACCTGATTATCTTCATCACTGGCTGCCGCCTCTTACCCCTCCGTTTTTCTTGACAATTTAAACAATCAAAACCAAAATCTATAAATTATTGGGTACTTCCATCAAGCTGCATCACTTACTGTTTTGGAAAAATCGTACTCCCACCTTCCATAGAGTTCAATTTTGACTTCAATTTGTTATTTTTCACTTGAACATCAATAAATATGGTTTTAGTTATAGTGGAAAAAGTTTGTGATTTCATTAATACATAGAAAAGATATTAGACAAAACATTTTGAACTAGGAAGCATTAACTATCACGCTGATTTTCAAATAAAGCAATACCAAGTTTGAATCCTTAACATCAAAAGTGGCCTGCAGTTACTAAAGGAGCATACTCAGGCTGTATGTGTCACAAAATGTGTTTACTGACCAAAACAAAAATGGAATTATAGAAAGAGAGCACATGCTACAAGATTCCATTTGCTATATGTAGGTTTCCTCAAGTAAGATTTTTTTCGATTAACTATTCTTCGTTTTTGGGTATTTTTTTTCTTGAAAGAACTTGATCCATTCCTAAAAACAAGTGCATTGTACTTGTAGTAACTACTTAACCCCATACGAGCATTCATATGATTTGTGCAATGTCGTGTAAAATATTCTTTACCACTTTACTACTAAAATTATCTATTGATCTCTGTACCTCATTTTCCAATCACTTTTGACCACTTGTCGTATATTCTGAGCAATGATGGACATTATTCAACAGACTTGCCTAAATGATCCTTGACAATAACAATGTTTTAACAAGAAACTGATGATCACCATTTCTTTTTATGGGAAGTAGGATCTAAGAAAAATGGAGGTGGGACATGAAGTAATAATGTGGCAAAGTAAAAATATCTTACTCTCCCGTAAAGCTTTTTTATGAAAAGCAGATAGTATAAAAAGCAAATAAACAATTTTTTCTCCTCAATAAAGTTTATTTATGAATTATGAAAGCTCCATATTAATCCTTTAAATTCATCATTAAATTCTCTCCCATAAAGTAAGTTTCATTAAGACTGGACAATGAATAATCCAGCATATAGTGAACCTCATACTGCTTGTGAGTCATGAATCATGAAATCAGCATTCCCATATTGATATTGTCACTAACTGTTTAGGGTCCTCAGTACGACTTCATTTGGCTTGTGTTCCAAATTCAATGCTCAATAATCCAGCATATAGTGAACCTCATACTGCTTGTGAGTCATGGATCATGAAATCAGCATTCTCGTATTGATATTGTCACTAACTGTAATTACACGCATGAATCTGAAAATTTATGCATCAAAACATGAGAGTACATGACCACTTTCTCTAAATCCCGCTCCTTTGGAGGGGATACTTTACCATCTTGAAATAGGTCAATCATAACCTTATTTTTTCAGGACTCATCATAAACTTAGCATTCAGGTCTCTAACACCCGAACTCCCCAAGGATGTTGTTCTCTGGCTATAATTTGTATGAAAGATTAAAACCAGCCAAATGTCAATCACTATGTAGATTAGTTCATAGTGAACTCTTCATATCGAATTCCAAACACCAAGTTGTGAATCCTGTGTAGGTTGCCCATCATTCTTATGGAGGTAAAATCTGTGGGTCAAGAAAAAGGTTCACCTTGTACATACTACATAAACAAAAACCAAATCATCTATTTGTCTGTATTTAGCTTTCGCCACAAAGAACTGTCGTGTTGATATGCATAAACACAATTAGTTAAATATCAATGGGAAGACTGATCTAAAATCAGGCTTCCTATATTAGGTCTTTCTTCATTTCATCTTCTTATTTACACAACATAAACACTGTCTTTCCTAATTTAAGTAAGCAGTAATTCCTTTGACCATAAAACCAACATCTAAAACACATAAAACAACCGCAACATGAAGATCAAAACGACCTTTAACGCAAGAGAAATTGAAAATTGGGTAAAAGATGAATAGGAAAACGAACATAAATTGAAATGAAATAGTAAAAAAAGAAAAGGAATTAGAGAGAGTACGTACCAGAAAAGGTCGATGAGGATGTGGTCTGGGAGAAATGAAAGATCGGAGATGTTATGGAGATTGAAAAGGGTTGCGACAATTGCGAGTGAAAGGAGGGAAGGGGGGCACGGATTGCTCATTCATCCCTACAATTTCTCTTTCCAGATCCAATTTTCATTAGTTTTATTCATAATAATTCTTCCAATCCCAAGATTGTAAATTGAATTGAATTCTTTTTTTTTCCGTAAAAATTGAATTGAATTCTTTTTTTTTTTCCCGTAAAAATTGAATTGAATTATTCCATCCTTGTGCTCATGTATCTCTAAGGTAGCGTTTGGTACGCAGACTAGACGGGACAGGACGGGACAGAACGGGACGGGACAAGACTAATTGTTTGTCCTATGTTTGGTACAACTAGGACAGAACAGGACAAAACTGTTAAAATGACCATATTACTCCTAAATATTGTTCAGTGTTATTTTATATCAATGTTATTTTAAATCATTGTTACATTGGGCTACCCATAGTAATCATCCAAATAACGAACAAAAGCTAAAAGTACAAACAGGCTTCAACATGCCAAATTTTTTTTTATCAAAAGTTAAATAAGAAATTATTGAGAAGTTAAATCAGAATTAAGCAATTTAAGTCACAAAGTTAAAATCCTTTACAATTTCAAGAAGATTGAATTGGCATTTTAACAAGAATAACTGATGATTCAATCAAAAAAACTTCAGGAAATACAAGAAGAAAAGTAAAAAATAAAAGGGTAACATAGTCATTTTATATTTAGTCCCATGTTGTTCCACCTTTTTTGGTGGAACAAAAATTATCAAGTTTTGTCCCATGAAATTTAAAAATAGTCCCATCTTGTCCTATGCATTTTCTGTCCATGACATGTCAAACATGAGACTATTTTTTTTTGTTCCGTACCTTTTTTTTTTAAATTCAACGGAATGTGTTCATGTTATTATCTATTCTATACTATAGTATAATACATTTGATAAAAACAATTTTTTATATATAAAATACTGTTTATTGATTCATATTACTTAAAGTTTAATATTACACGTAAATTATGCGTAAGTATAACTTATTTAATTTTTTTTGAATTCATGTAACTAAGTGCAGATAAACATAATCAAATACAGGATAAACGTCTCATGTTAAATATAAAAAGTTAAAATATAATTAAGATAATAATTGAGTTTTAACAAAATACTTAATTATAATCCTTATAAAAATTATGTTAAGATAATCATTGAGTTTTAACAAAATACTTAATTATAATTCTTATAAAAATTATGTTATTAAACAAAAGTAAATCGCTTTGTTATTAAACCTAAATTAAATTATAATAAAAAATTTAATTAAAGAAATTACACAAAAATTAAAACTTTTAAATAGTTAATTTAATGTTAATATCGATATATATATTTTTTTAAATTTGTATTTCGTTCGAAGATAAAAATATTATCGTTTTTTCTTAAAATCATATAAAATTGAATTATCGATAGAGAAAATGAATAAAATAAAATATTAAAATCGAATTATATATCACTCCACAAGTAGTTTTACAATCAAATGGCTTTTTACTATAATGGGAAAAGTCCAAAAAAACTCAATGGACTTTACTGTTTGGAACGATTAAGTCCTTGGACAATTTTTTGGAACAAATAAACCATTGGACATTCTAAAACCTGTTAAATAAATCCTTAGACTTTTTAGAATTTGTTAAATAGATCCTTATCTGTTTAAAATGTAACCTGTGACCTGAAGAGTAGGTAAACTCAAATTAAAAAAAAAAAAACCCTAATATCCTAAAAATGATGACTCCCATCTCACTCATCGTCTCCCTTTCGTCTCCACACCACCGTCGCTGCTTAACGCCCCGATGCCACCGTCTCCCTCTCGCCGGTCCCTGCTGCACCACCCCCGTCGCCGCGTACACCACCCCTGTAGTAGCCGCACTACTGCACCACCCCTGTAGTAGCCGCACTACTGCACCACCCCTGTAGTAGCCGCACTACTGCACCACCCCTGTTGCCGCTCGCCACCGCACCCAACCCTGTCTCCGCTCGTCGCCACCGCACCCAGCCCTGTCTCCGCTCGTCGCCATACACCACCGTCCCATCGCCGGTCGTTGCTGTTGAACCGTCTCTATCGCCGATCCCGCTGTAGTTTGATCTAATCAGGTTTGTTCCAACATTGTCGATTTCAGTTGTTTAGTTGTTTACTTAGTGATCATCTCATCTTGAATCAAGTTTATGCTTAATTGTGAGTCAAATTCTTGAATTTCGTTTAGTGTATAATTRTGTTGAATTGGTCAAATTCTTGAATTAGCTTGGTCTAATGGCATTTAGTTGTTTTGGTTTTGATGTAATGCTTTAATTATTGTAGTTTTTGGATGGTTTTTGGTCTGCGATCAAACATACATCTTGGGTTTAGGAGAATTCTAGTTCTAATGCTTGCTTTAATGAATTCTTCAGATTTCATGATGATATTGGGGTAGCAAAACTGTTGATCCCCTCTCTCAGTGATTTGATGATAATCCCTTTTTCCTTTCGATGTATTTTAGTTTCTGTATTTTCAGATCCAGCGATCAATACACTGAGTATGTTCAGTGATCGCTGAAGAACT